CTCGAAAGGAGCCTGCTTGCTAGACAGGGCTGCTGACAAGCGGTCTAGACTTGGACATGCTTTTCGCCTTCAAGAGAGAGAGAGAGAGAGAGAGAGAGAGATGGATTGCAAGTATTCTTTTGGTTGTTTCACTTATAATCACTAAGACTGCAATCGTACTACGAAGCAGTCTCGACGTTTTAGTTGTTTTCGAGGTGCAGTGTCGAATTCGACATCAAGTCCCCTTCACGGCTTCATTTTTATCGAACTCCAGAGGATGAGTACGCATCGACGCAAATGCACAAGCCGCATCACCAATTGCGAGCTGCCACGCTCACGGATGCCGGCGACATAAGTCCAAATAACCAGGAATGCCATGAAGCCGCACGGCTGCGTCCACATTTGTGCATGGTGATAACTCGGATTTTGGCGTAAGTTGTGAGTCTGGTACAGTGTTGTTTGGAATCAATGTGGCGTTCAGATTAAAATAATCATCCGAGCAACTGCTGGCCCTGCTGATTCTTGATTGTTCGTTGGCACGTCAGATTGCATAGCTGCAGGTTGGAACTTTATTTCTTACCGCTTCGTGGTTCAGCGATTCCTGGCGGTCCTTGCGATCGGGCTTTCCCGTCCTTCCCACGTAGATCAACACTCATCTCAGCATTGTCTCGCATGAAAGTTTGGCTTGGTGTTTCGCAACGTCAGAGTCTTGTGTTTATTTCTTCGTTTGCCAGTTAAACTGCCGCGGAGGTCCAATCTTTGTGTGGTTTTGGAGCGGTTTGCATAAATCCGTGGGCAAGTTGGGCAGCACGTGCTTTGGCCCCATGGGATACTGGTGGAACCTTCGACAACAACCCTCCAATTGATCGCAGACGGAAGACAAGCAGAGCGTCTCAAGTGATAATTTCGTTTCTTTGACGCCCGCTGGAAATCTCATTTTCCCATGCTTCTGATTGCAAGGTTTTTCGATTTGCCAGCTCATATCCAGGGCAGGCGCGGATTCCCAATCAAGCAGTTGCAGTTCCCTTGAGACTGCTCAAAAGTTGGGATTGAAGGCTTCTGCGTCGCCATTAGAGCATCCCGTATTGCAGTTCAACCGGCTGGACTGGCCGTTCTCACATGTTGCATTTCATTCATGTTCTAATGTTTCTCCGGTGCAGCACGTGTGTTGCATGGCGTCGAAATCCGATTGAACGAACTGTTTCATTTCGTGTGGTCTTGAATTTCTTCAATAGCGCGACGAAGCCGCGGAAATCCTTGAAAACTTCCGGTTTGTCCGGAACCCAAAAGACAACATGAAAGCTAAAATTTGTTGGGGTGTGGGGTCAAGGACACACCGACACATCCACTCTTTGAAAGCGTTTGCAGACCACAAAATAAACAGGGGCAGGAATGGAATATTTTGAGTACAAGCTGAACTAACAGGCAGGCGAAAGTGGTTTCCGATTGTTCATTTAAAATTCAGCAGCTTCATGGTACTATTCGGCCCGACATGCCAGCTCACAAAGCACCGCCTGTGCTTATTGCCGACATGGAGGCAGAACTGGGCGTGATGCATCCGAGTGAGCCACCGTTCGTGCCATGATAGATCTTCCTGGCATGGGTGGTTGCAGCTTTCCGGACAGGGACGTGTCCAATTCGTGAGAGCATGCGGAAAGGTTGCCTTCGTTGCTCCGCTGTCGACGGCGGGAGCGGCAGTTTGCGGCTAAGAGGGTCCGCCGTGTTACAAGCCAGTTTGCAGTCGCAACTGGGCGCGAGGCTCCACAACTTGCGCCAAGTCATGTTTCCACACAAGGCAGAGCCTGCGTAAACGGGGGTAGATCCAATTTGCTTACCAAATCCTAGCTGAGAGGACCATCAGCATCATCCTGGTCTGCGCCCACAGCATTTTGCATAGCGGCCTTCGCCGGCACAGCTGCAAGCCGGGCAAGCCGGAAGCGCGTGGCACGAAAGGCGGAGCAGGCTAGGATCGATCTTTGGAGTGAGAGCCGCAAAAGTTCAGACATCTTCGAAGCATGGGAGTTAAAGACGACAAATGAGGGTCGAAAAAGTGTAATGGAATCCTGCTTGCAGCAATCACTTTAACAGGATCTGGCTCAGGACTGAGGAATCTGAGGATTTCATCGTACATCAGGTGTGCCAACATGTCGTGAACAGAGGATTTGTTGCCAAAGTTTACGCGATAATTAGCAAGTCATGATTGTTGCACGCGATAAAGGAAGATCCCTCGTGGAAAATTCTTTGTGCATGCGTGCTTATCGAAAGCGCTAGCAGTGTGGACAGAATTCGTCTCAAGCTATAGACCGTTCGATGTTTGCTGCACTGCGAAGGAATTGGCCAAATTGCCGAAGCACATGCAGCCTGTCGACATGAACAAGCGCAGGGCTTAGCAGGACTTTGCGGAGGTTGCTTACTTTCGGAAGCAACTCATGCTCTGTACCGGGTCATGTTGAGACATAGTACTGGAACTCTCCGATTGCGGGTTTCGGTATCTGTTCGGTTCTTGTGCGAAATTACCATCCGGTCCGAGGGAGTACCCGGCCTACGTGAAGGGCAAGAACGAGAACTCCATGATGCCGCAGCTGGTGGGCGACTGGGGCACGCCGGTGCCAGGTAGCTACAAGGAGTGCCTGACCCTGATCGGGCCAGATGTGGAGGTGGGCCTGTCGACCGGCACGCCCTGGGATCCCCTGGGATTCAGCAAGCTCTATGACCGGAACTTTGAGTTCAACGGCAACATGACCTTCCCGCATGTGCAGTGGCTGCGTGAGTCCGAGCTGAAACATGGCCGCTGTGCGATGCTGGCAATTGTCGGCATTTTCGCACAGGGTGCCTTCCACATTGATGGCTACCCCGAGGCCCCGTGGTACGAGGCGCTGAAGGCGTGCTATGACAAGCCGGCGGGCATCGTGGGACTGGGCATTGCTCAGATCTCAGCTTTCGCCATGATCATCGAGGGCAAGTTCTTCCCAAAGGACTCTTGGATCGGCCAGATGGACCGTGAGCCCGGTGACTTGGGATTCGACCCCCTGAAGCTCGCCAAGGATGCCGAGAGCATGAAGTCCATGCAGCTGAAGGAGCTCAAGAATGGACGCCTGGCCATGATGGCTTTCATGTCCCACGTGGTTGGCCATTACTTGCCAGGCAGCGTCCCGGGTGTGTCTGCCCTTTCCAGGGAGACGGCCACTGCGCAGGCCCCTGCTTTCTGCGGCACAACTGCCAGCCAGCCTGAGTCCACTGCCAAGACCGCGGCTCGCTACACCACGCAGACGATCCTGCCCTCCCTCGCCTGGATCAAGACAGGCGTGAAGGCTTCCGAGCTGCAGCCCAAGCAGCTGAAGGCCCTGACGCTGGCCGGCAACGACGTGTTGATCGGCAAGACGGAGGCTGGAGCGCTCTTCTGCGTCGGCAACTTGTGCCCGCACATCGGTACGCCCATGAGCGAGGGCGCCGATGTGATCGGCGACGTCATCGTCTGCCCTTTGCATGGCTCCTCCTTCAAAGTGACCACGGGTGAGCTCCTGGATTGGTGCGTCTCCCCACCTGTCATTGGCCCCTTGACTGGACTGATCGTGGAGAAGAAGAACCTCCTGGTCTTCGAGGTGCGCCAGGGTGGCTTGCTGGGAACCGGCGATGTCGAGGTGCTCGTGGACACCAATGCCAAGAAGGCCTACGAGGCCTGGTACTGGAAGGGCCTCCTGGATGCCCAGGGCAAGGACGACGGCACGTACTACTGAGCAGCGTCTTGACTTTTTGTCCTGTCTAGCCGCGACCTTGGCAGGTACGACTGTGCAATGAAACGACAGTGACGATAACGTTAGCATTAGCATTGCTGTTCCATAACCTGCTTCCAGGCTTAAATTTTGCTTGCATTTCGACTGTTGCTGATCCGTTTTTGACACTTTTGAATAACTTAGGGTTCGCCATGGTTCGCCGATTTCAAGGTTTGGGGTGTTAGGGTTTGGGGTTAGGGTGTGTATACATCCACGTGCGGTGGGTGCGCCTTTTACTTTAGGATTCGGGGTGACCCACTTATCGTGCGGTTGGGTCAGCATGTAGTCCCGCCCCACCCACCCCAATTATTCTCAATTAGGGAGGAGCGCTCCCCCCCGAAACCTTCCTCTTTTGGGTCCTCGTGGCCTGCACAGCCCCGCTCGGCGAAAACCAAGAGATTCCAGCAAACAACTTTCGTGCCCTGTGAGCATAGCTCGAAGTGTAAACATCTACCCTTCGAGGTTGGGGCCGGCATTGGCGCCCGCCCTGAAATAGTACCGAACTGAAGTTGGAAGGGCCCTTTTGAAAGTCCTGCAGCACTCTTGCAGCTCTGCAAGAGCCAGGAGTGGGCTTTGAAGGTGGGAGATTCTGTGCAAGGCCTGAAAACCGAGGCTTGGAAGCCACGAAATTCGTGTGGCGTTTGGCAAATTGGGCAGCAGGAATTTGCCAGCCTGGGGCCCAGATCCCAAACCTCTAAACATTCATTGGGGTCTTAGTTATGCCAAGCTGACGCCCGTAGTGTGTGAGGCGTGGCCGAATCATCTCCGTCCCCATAAACCGGGACCTCGCCGGAGACGCTTGGCCGGGGGCCTCGGTCGGAGCTTCGAGCGCCCGTGCAAATGGTCAGCGGCGGTCTCGGCAGTTTGGGGTTTAGGGGTTAGGGTTTGGCGGAAAACCCTTCAATGCACCTCCACTATGTAACTATGCATCACACCGAAGCAGATGCCGAGTTCGCAGTGACGTGATCGTGTACAGCCGGAGAGTGCGCCAATCCCTTTTTCAGTTGCTTCCTCAAGCCTGGCCACTCGCACCGTAGGTAGTTGCCGTGACGTGGACGCTAGAAGCGCCGCTCTAGGATCGAGAAGCATTCTGAGGCAGGAAATGGGGCAAAACATGGATGTTGGCCGTATGACTGCCTTAGACCAAGCAACGGCTGCGTATGCCTAGATTCTGCCTAGATTTGGACAACCGAAAGCTGCGGGCTCAAGGATTTGCAAAAGCTCTCGATCCAAAGGTCTGTCCACAGCATGGAGGCACACGTTCAGTTCTCGTGACATTGTAATTCTTATGCTGTTAATGTTTGTCTGTTCGTGTATACAATGTTTCAATAACTATTGGGCAGGTGGCGTTCCTGGCGCCAATTGGCAATGCTCAGACCTCAAGCAAACATGTGTATGGTATGTATGTATGTTTGTATGTATGTATTACATATCCCTTCCTCCTTCTCCCTCGCTCTCTCTCTCCTCCCTCCCTCACTCTCCATCTCTCTCCCTCCCTCTCCCTCTCTCTCCCTCTCTCTCCCTCTCTCTGCCTCTCCGTCTCTCTCCGTCTCTCTCCGTCTCTCTCCGTCTCTCTCCGTCTCTCTCCGTCTCTCTCCGTCTCTCTCCCTCTCTCTCCCTCTCTCTCCCTCTCTCTCCCTCTCTCTCCCTCTCTCTCCTCTCTCCCTCTCTCTCCCTCTCTCTCCTCTCTCCCCCTCTCTGCCCCTCTCTCACCGTCTCTCCCCGTCTCTCCCCCTCTTTCTCCCTCCTCGTCTCTCCCCCTCTTCTTCTCAACCCCCGCTCTCGGCCCCTCTCTTCTCTCCTCTTCTCTCCCCTTCTCTCCCCTTCTCTCCCCTCTCTCCCCCTCTGTCCCCTTTCTCTGTCTCTCTGTCTCTCTGTCTCTCTGTCTCTCTGTCTCTCTGTCTCTCTGTCTCTCTGTCTCTCTGTCTCCCTCTCTGTCTCTCTGTCTCTCTCTCTCTCTCTGTCCCTCTGTCTCTCTGTCTCTCTGTCTCTCTGTCTCTCTGTCTCTCTGTCTCTCTGTCTCTCTGTCTCTCTGTGTCTCGCTCTGTCTCGCTCTGTCTCGCTCTGTCTCGCTCTGTCTCTCTGTCTCTCTGTCTCTCTGTCTCGCTGTCTCGCTCTGTCTCGCTCTGTCTCGCTCTGTCTCTCTGTCTCTCTGTCTCTCTGTCTGTCTGTCTGTCTGTCTGTCTGTCTCTCTGTCTCTCTGTCTCTCTGTCTCTCTGTCTCTCTGTCTCTCTGTCTCTCTGTCTCTCTGTCTCTCTGTCTCTCTGTCTCTCTGTGTCTCTGTCTCTCTGTCTCTCTGTCTGTCTGTCTGGCTGGCTGGCTGGCTGGCTGGCTGTCTGGCTGTCTGGCTGTCTGGCTGTCTGGCTGTCTGGCTGTCTGGCTGTCTGGCTGTCTGGCTGTCTGGCTGTCTGGCTGTCTGTGTCTCTGCTTTCCGAGTCTCGGTCATTCTTTCTCCCTATCTGTATCTCTACCTCGGTCTTTATCTCTATTCCCTACCCCTACCTCTGGATTTGAGGTGGACATTGCGTTATAATCATTGCATGAGAAATGGCAACTTGCTGCAGATATCATAGTTTTGCGTGTGTGTGTGAATTGTGGGCACGTTGTGTTTGGGAAGAACATCTCTTCTGCAGGAACCGATGTCTGCAAGCAAGAAGCCTGTAGTTTTGCAGTCTGTTGGGCAGAACAATTTGCAAGGAACGCATCGTTGTGTGCCATGAACAAGAGTTGGTCGTGGGTTGAGAAGGTTGCTGCGACATGATGGTGTTCGACGCAATAGAGAGGAACATTCAGTTTGATGACTTTTGTGCGGTCCATTGGCTCCAAGATGCTTAAGTAAAAGGCGTTCACCCCGCCTTCTGCAAAAACCATGAGCGACTTTTCGGGTTCAGAGAGCAAGTCCCCGCAGATAAGCGGCTGTCTGGTCAAGCCGTTGCAGGGCAGACATCACTAGTCGAGAGGAAATGAGAGGAAGGGCGGGGAAGCTTTGGAAGCCGGCACGGACTGGATTGGCTCTCCGGACAACATAGTGCCCTGGTGATCGGATCGGAAACTACGAATCACACGTCAGCTGGGGCTGAGTCCAACACCTTTGACACAAAGCTTTTGTCGAAGGTTTGAAGGGCCAGGAAAACGCTGCTTTTGTAAATGTGTTTCCATATTCATGCATGTGTGCATGAGAAGATGTCCATGTGCTGTTTTTTTTGCACACGCACCTACTCGAGTGAGGGAAAAAGCCGGCAGGAAGGACGAACAGTTTGGCAGACACAGCTTTCGCGATGCAGTGTGGGTGTCTGGATGGTTTCTTACATCCTGTAAGGCTCTTGTCGCTCATTCGGTTGAGCAAGCGTGTTTATGAGGCAGCGCAGGCCGTCTCCGTACCAAAGCAGACCATGCAGCTTCCAGGAGGTGACGGCGACATGTATGCAAGGGAAGCTACTGCAGACTGCGTGAGGAGAGAGCATGCTGCACACATGCAGGACAGCAGCCAGCCGCTGGCTTCGGAGTTAAGATGGCAGCAGTTGCTTCGTGCACAGCAGCGGCTGTCGGCTTGGCTTCCAGCCGGAAGCGCTCAAAGACCGCGGCTCGCTACACCACGCAGACGATCTTGCCCTCCCTCGCCTGGATCAAGACGGGCGTGAAGGCTTCCGAGCTGCAGCCCAAGCAGCTGAAGGCCCTGACGCTGGCCGGCAACGACGTGTTGATCGGCAAGACGGAGGCTGGGGCGCTCTTCTGCGTCGGCAACTTGTGCCCGCACATCGGTACGCCCATGAGCGAGGGCGCCGATGTGATCGGCGACGTCATCGTCTGCCCTTTGCATGGCTCCTCCTTCAAAGTGACCACGGGTGAGCTCCTGGATTGGTGCGTCTCCCCACCTGTCATTGGCCCCTTGACTGGACTGATCGTGGAGAAGAAGAACCTCCTGGTCTTCGAGGTGCGCCAGGGTGGCTTGCTGGGAACCGGCGATGTCGAGGTGCTCGTGGACACCAATGCCAAGAAGGCCTACGAGGCCTGGTACTGGAAGGGCCTCCTGGATGCCCAGGGCAAGGACGACGGCACGTACTACTGAGCAGCGTCTTACAATGCGCGAATGCACGTCAATGATGTGCACGCCGTGTGATTCAACCTCAAAAGTGTGTCCGTGCGAACTGACACGTGACGTGCCAAAGACGACCGGAACATGCTAGCGCCGAGAAGCGGATGCTTACCAATTTAGTTGCATCGCTGCAATCATAAGTGGTTTAACGGCACCAGCTGCCTGCTTGTTTTTTCCCAGTCTGAGTTGCAGAATTGCAGGCCCGCCTGGCTCCATCAGTGCCCGCCAGAAGCATACAAGCTGCAGAAGCACTTTGGTTATCGGTTATCGGTCTGCTCGTCTGTGCCAGCGGAACTGCGATTTGTTTGTCAATGTGATCTCCCGAGACCGGCGATCACAGAACTACAAACTATTCAGTCAGTTGCAAGCACGAAATGAGGCTTGCAACCGGTCATCACGCACTCATTGGACTTGTAGTTTGCAAACTTTCCCATGGACTGTGGACTGGACTTACCTGTTGCTGCAGCCAGGAAGCTTCTTGTAGTAAAGACATGCAGCCGATGGTTTCGCTGTACGCTTCTGTGTCTTCCAATCTGTACGTGCATATGTATTTATCAGTGGTAAACATATGGATAGGTGGAGCCAGATTGAAGTAAAGAGCGAGCCAGAGAAAGAGACCGGGAGACAGGGGAATAAGAAAAGGAGAGAGTGCGACAGAGGTTGAGGGAAAGAGCGTGCGAGCAGGCACAGAGAGCAGAGGGACACAGCAATAAGTGAGAGTGATAAATCCACTGTATATTGATACTGTTGCAAGGCAGTGTAGCCAGTGTTCTTGCACCCGGCACTGGTGCGATGTTCGTCAAGGTGCCTGGAGCCCGGGTCATGCAAGATCTTTCGGCAGCCAGAGTAGGGAGACGTTCTCACCAGTCGGACTTTGTGGGCTCGTCTAAGACGTCGTCGGGTAAGTAATAAGATGCACGAGGCGAACCTGTTTGGAACAAGTCTGTGGCTACTCGATACTGTCGTAGTGCGGCTGGGAGCCCTGTTTTGTTGTTGGGAGATGGACCTGGATTCGTTGCCCGAATTCTCGCGAATGCACGAGTACCATCGTTCTCAAGGCTGCCGTAGACTATGCCAACAGACGGTGCCAATGCCCCTGCCTGAAGAGCTGCATTGCACCATGTGGTATCTACGTGCTTTCATTTTGTACTTGACCGTGCATAGAATGGGCAGACTGCGCAGCTTCAAGGCCGTCCTTCCAACTTTTCCGCCAACGCGACGAGTCCTGTGCAACTGGCTTTCTTATGTTCCTGTTCTTTGTAGACTCCCCGATATCTCCGGATGAGCCTCGCCAGCTGGGACCGGACTCCAAGCGGCCCTGCACTCCGAGTGCCCTGCGGCGCCTGGGCACCGGCGCTCGGCATCGGCCTCAGAATCTCAGACACGGCTTGAGAGACGGCATCCTGCAGCCGCGCCTTTTGCAACGCTTTGCGCATGCTTGTGCTTGCTTGCTTTTTTTGCGAGGCCTCTCAGCCGAGCTCCAGGTTGAGTTGGCTTCGGTGGCGGCAGCAGTGGCGCGGCGTGTGCTCCTGAGCTGAGAGCGTTTCTCAGCTCTGGCTTCGGCACCCTTGCAAGAAACGGGACATCCTCGTGCCACACAGCAAAACGCAGAGCAGATTCCCAAGCGTGTGACTGCCCACGGGGCAACCCACTGCACAAGCGCGGCGGCTTGGCATGAGTTAGGTAGCAGCAGGTGGCGTCAGGTTGTGCATGCGGGCATGTGGCATATCTTGCCGGGGCACTATAACAGGTAAGTATTTGCATCAAACACTCAGCATGAGATTGGATACGATCGCAACATGCCCTCCTTCCCAGCATTCAAGCCGGTGTCAGGTCGAAGCCCAGAGGCTCCTGCAACGGGAACGTGTTTGACGCAAGATGCCCGTAGAGAGATTTCAGCAGCGATGCACACTGTTTGCCCGCAGCTCAAGCAGATGTGATGCTGCCTCAGTGCACCGCAGGGCAAGCTTTGAGGACATATCCACATGTCTCGCCTATAACTTGATGTTGCGATTTGATAAGGCTCTAACTAGGACGGAGGAAATGTCCAAGCATGAGTCTGGTAAGCTTAAGCACAACACGTAAGAGTACCTGTTTGCTCGCACGAGCATCCTCGCTGCTCATTTGAGCTGCTTGCAAGTGCGGTGTCTCTGCTGCAGTCATTTTCATTTGATGTCGTTTTTCTCGTCTTGGCAGCTTGCATATGTGCCATACCAGGCCTTATGGCGGCCAATGGCGTGTTCTTGCACCATTATGCCTCTAAACCGGCACCCGGCAGCTCTGCATCCGAGTTTCTCGGAAGAGTTCAGGGGAGCATCGCCTTGGCCTTGGCTTAGATTTCTAATTGCTCAAAAAAGGTGGGCAGGGAACATGACAGCCGCGGACGACTCCAATGCCGCGGGCTGAAAGTGCCACCTATGGAGCGAGTTGCAGCATCTTGACCTCAGCATCAACTCCCCTCCGTTTGAGTTGTTGAATCTTGTCCGTCGCACAAGTAGCATCACAGGTGCAGGGAAGGTGGTCTGGTTTGCCAACAGGATGTACACGATCCTCCGAGCTGAAAGGAAGGACCATGATCGGTTCATGTTGTCCAAATATCTGAAGTACCTATCTGTGTTCCTCCCTCGACTCCAACACTTGGTGCAGCAAACGAGTGCCAGCTTGGGTGTCGGTTGTAGAAGCTGGTGATGCTTGTGGGAATCTCAGCGCTGGCCGTGCGGCTATTACGACGCTTCCGCTGCAGTGCATGTTTCTGAGTTCATGTAGACGACGAGTTTTGATTCAGTTCAGAAGTTTTCCACGAGGGCCATGCGAGCATTGGCCTGTGCTTTCAAAGGCAACGGCCTTTAGGCTATCGTGGCTTTGCCATCAGACTTTGCTTATATCCACCATTGCACCTCCACTCTCCTTGCTGCGTCTAGTTTTGATGATTGGCACTGTTTTTGTCACCTCCCAGTTAACGTAGGGTTTGCTCTAACAGTCATAGGAACATGAGAACAATAACAACTGTTACAGTCTTCAAGCAACTCTTGTATCGATTGTCTGGCCATTGTCGTTTGTTTTAGTCAGCTCTGGTCGCCTTTGTCTTGCCTCAAACGGTGCTAGTAACAGATGCTGTTTGAGGCGACGACCTATGGAGGCGTGGGCCCAAATTGTCGTGCACAGCTTTAGGACAGGGTTATGGCACAGACAATAAGTGCATTCGCTTTCAGTTGTGAAGGTGGCATCTATGGACAGGATCGTGCTTTCCACAGCAACTTCTATCAGGCCATGGCGAGCAAGTTGCGTCAATTTGCACACAGGGTGAGTGCGAGCTTTTGGTGGAGTCGTTGCAGGTCTCGCTCGAAGGCATTATTGTAGAGTCGCTGGTCGACACCTTCTCAGCAATAGTCTGGGTGTGTAGGTGTATGCAATGTGGCAAGGAGGTCTGAATCCTCCCATGTGTCTCAGGCCATCGCTGTTCTCTCGCTGTGTCTGGGTGCTGTCTGTGTTCGGAAAGGCCATCTGTCAGTTGCAGACTGCGATGTGCACAATGCAATAGAGCCACTTGACTTCGTCGTGCAGCAGATGGCTTGACGACTGATCCCTGAAAACGCTGATTGCCCAAGCCGCACGTGCACTCCATGCACTGGAGTCCACGGCCATGCGTGTAGCTGAACTGACTTACCCGGCCGGCCGATCCATGCCAGGCAGCACGCCCACTGGGGCACTATAAGCGTCCTGCCCCACGATCCCTTTTGAAAAATAGTCTGAGGAGAACCGGAAACCTTTACTGCTCCATGGGCTTGGGAAAATTTTCTCCAGTCGCGACTTCCCCGTCCTTTCACGACTTGTAGCTGAAAGGCTCCTAGGGCGGTTTCGCCTCAATACCCGCTTGGCCAATAGCTCTGCAGACCCTTCCCAGAGACCCTCAGAGCCTCCCAGGAAGGCCCAAGGACCCTCCTGCCCACAACGTGACTGGCCCCCAAAGGCCACCGAAACGCGTTCAGAGGCTCCCAGGGGCCAGCGTTCCCGTTCCAGCTTTGTCGGTTCAACCGAGCGAAGCGAAGAGTCCAAAAGCATTGAAGAAATCACCGAAAAAGAGAAAGAGGCAGGGCCAAGAGCATGGAGCGTGCTCAGGGAAGGCTTCACTAGGAGAAACTTGAAGGGATCAACCTTTTCGTACGGAATCAGCGTGTCGCTTCACAGACCTTGACGCGCAGTTGCGGTCCTCTCGGAAGCCTGCCAGACATTGCCGCAGCTTTCGAACTTTCCTCGCTGCTGCCAGGATGGGTTGGCCCGTCGAGGCTACAGCCAGGGGATCTGCGCGCCCTGACGACTTTCTCAGACGCATACCGCTGGGGCTCAGTGTGCTTTGCCATTCGCTGTTTTTCCGTGACGCGCTGTGTTTAGACTCTCCAGTCGAGGAATAGCTGATCTGGAGCTCGAGCCGGATGTGTAGCTTGGACATGAGAAAGGGCATGGCACCTTACGACCATGGCCGGACAAAGTGTATGAACGTATCAGCATCTCTGGTGTAGGCTGACGTGGATGCATCAAGCAATGAGGTTGGGTTACGACATAGAGCCGTGGTGCTTCATCGGGCAGCGCATATGCGCAACAACCCCCATCTTGGAATGGAGTGAAATGTTTTCTGGTTACCTGGCTGCAGACACGGCAGGTGTCCTAGGCCCCAGGCCTCGGAGTAGCCGGGGTGGAAACCGACGACAACGCATCTGTGCGTTTCGCTCTTCTGCAGAGCGTCCTACTGCCTCGCAATTCTCACGATGTTCAGGTGCCCCGCGTGGCTTCCTGGTGGACTTGGCCAAGGCCTTTCGTCCTCAGCCGCAAAGAGCATGCTCGCCTGACCATCTGGACGGTCCACTTCTGCTGGCGCAGACATGCAGGGCATTGATACAGAGCTGCTCGCGTTCCAGCACCGCGTATGGTGACTTGCTTCTGCAGTTGAGCGGAATCACTGTGTCGAAGAAGAT